GCCCGACAGCAGAATCCGCCAAAGTTGGTCCAGAGACAGACACTTCCCATGTGTGTTCGTTATGTGCCCAAGTGTTCACAAGGAAGTTTAACCTCCAGCGACACATGCGACACCTTCATGGGATAGATACTACTAGTCTAGGAGAAGAGCCAAAGGTGCCATTCTTTCCTCTTACCCCGAATTTAGAGGAGGAAGTTGATGATTCACCAGTTGAACAAGACCATGAAACACCTACCTCGGAGGCAGATGGAGAGTCAGGGGATGGTAAAGCCAGTACACGGGAACATAAAGATGGATTGGCAGAGGATCATTATTCTAGTGACACTGATCAAGATGGTAGACAGGAACGGGAGGTCGAGGGTGAGAGTCCTCCTATTACTCTTGACATTCCAGAGGAAAACAAGTCGGAACCTAAAGGGAAGGAAACCAGCACCAAGTCAAAAGCAAGCGTACCGTCTGCTACGGCTAGGTCACCAGAAGTGAGGACAATCGGAACCCAGACTCATGGACCTTCCTTCGCACCTAACGTATACGTACATGTAGATCAAGTATATTTCTAAGTTGGTCTCTCACAGATTTTAAGATGTTATGTTAACTTTTAACTTGTTACTTAATATAGCTCGTTCATATCATGTAGAGAGAGAGATAGAGACTTTAAAGTGAAATTTCTCTACTTTTTATTGACTTTAAGTTGTATGTTCATTATTCGTAAACTTGTTATCTTATAAAAGTGATTCATATGTCAAAGAGAGACAGAAAGACATGCACAGAAATGATTGTTTATGGCATTGATCAGAGACTTTTGAGATAGTTGACTTTTTAGAAGCATCTCTAGAATGTGATGGTGTTTACTGAAGTTTATTTTTTTAGTTGAAGTGCATTGATGGTGACTTGGTAATTGAGTTTGAGACTATGTTATAAAAATTATCATGTAGCATGTTATATGATTGATTAAAAGTTACTCATAAGTTGTTTTTTTTACTCCAATGGTTGTTGCTCATGGTTAAGATTATAGGAGCAATGCGAGGGCGCATTGAGTAAAGATGGGGGGTGTGTGGGAAATTTGAATTTCCCACCTTTCAAAATTTAATCTACGCTAGAGGGCGCTAGTTCTGAAATTTCAAATACACGAGAATTGTCATTTCAAAATTTAAAAAAAGGCTCCTTTCCTGCGATCTCCTGGTAGGTTTCCATTTATTTTTATATTCCCTTCATTCATATAAGTATCAAGAGTAATATTATGTGATAATCTAAGAGAAACTTGCCTGAATTTAGATGTAATGATCGTGCAGAGTAGAATTTTTTTCGTTCGAGTTGTGTTTACTTTCTTTTTCGAATATCTAGGTCAAATTACTTTGTGGTTATAACTTCATTACCCCCCTAGTAGGGTATTTTTCTGATATACATTTATGTTTTATATTATCTGGGAACAATTAGGGATAACGTTCCTTACTTCTGTAATAGTTTAAATTCATATTTCCGGGGATTGGGTAACTTACTCTTTCTTCTAACAGTGCCATCCTTATTATGCTTATGTGCTATGCCTGGTCTTCGGTAGTTTAACCCCAAAAACCTAAACTAATAAAAAGAGTAAACTAAGAGTAAGTGCAAATCTCAAAGAGTAACTTAGGAGTAACCATAAACCCAAGGAGTAAGCTGGGAGTAAGAGTAAGAGTAACCTTACTCTTTGCTTGTGCGGGAACCCTTGTCCTAGAATTGGTCAACCCATAGGAGAAATGTGCCACATGGTTATGAGTCATCGGCAATTAAAGGATCTGTGATTGACATTGTCATAGTGATTTCCCACAATGCATCACCAAATGGAGTAAACACACCAGCTTAGTCCAGCTGTAGCCAATCAGATAGCTTCCTTATGCATCTCATTAGTGGGTTAAGATAGGAGATAATCTGATCACCTGATGTTAGTCTTGCTTTAAATGTTGAAGTGTGAGGATGTGTAGCATCATTTTTAAAGCTAAATCGGGAATATAATGGAAAATTTGATTCTATTATTGGATGTTTATTGTGTTTGTGGATGCTGATAAATCTGAGGAAGTCTGGAGATTAACCAAGTGTGGATTAGCGTTAGTTGGAGTATATTTATCGTTTCGTGACGGAAAATACCATGACACGTGGATATAGGACCATTTGGCATGGTGTGATGTGGGCGAACAAGGAGAACTGTGAGTGAATTAGCAGTTAGAGACGTCTAAAGAACATGTTCCAGATTTTGTAAGTGCTGATATATTCCTATAATTCCTTTTTGTGATACAATCAAAAGGTTAATTTGATGCTTTTTTCGATTTGACATTGAGATTTTGGTGATTGCATCATACACTCCCCACAATCCTTTGCAATTCCGCCATCTTGGATGACTTCCGGTCCACGTGTGGTTCAAGTCTAATCTCAGAATTTGATTGACATTCTTGAACTACTCGTTCCTTAAAGCAAGCATTTTCTTATTTTTGAGCGGTAGTTTTATCCTTATTGAAGTGTGTGGATCAAATCTAATCTCAGGATTTGATCGACATTCTTGATTCCATCCGGAGCAAGTATTTTGTTGAGCAGTAGAGTTATTTCCTTTTGGACTGGTAATTGGGGTCTAATCTCATAATTTGATTGATATTCCCGAATTACTAGTCTTGTTTTGAACAACCGGGCTGGAGAAGAGTAACCCTGAGTAGCAGAGCGGCCAAGAGTAAAGAAGAGTAACCCAGGCTGAAGAAGAGTAACCCTGAGTAGAGCAGAGCGGCGAAGAGTAAAGACGAGTAACCCAGGCTGAAGAAGAGTAACCCTGAGTAGAGCAGAGCGGCGAAGAGTAAAGAAGAGTAACCCAGGCTGAAGAAGAGTAACCCTGAGTAGAGCAGAGTGGCGAAGAGTAAAGACGAGTAACCCAGGCTGAAGAAGAGTAACCCTGAGTAGAGCAGAGCGGCGAAGAGTAAAGAAGAGTAACCCAGGCTGAAATAGAGTAACCCTGAGTAGAGCAGAGCGGCGAAGAGTAAAGACGAGTAACCCAGGCTGAAGAAGAGTAACCCTGAGTAGAGCAGAGCGGCGAAGAGTAAAGAAGAGTAACCCAGGCTGAAGAAGAGTAACCCTGAGTAGAGCAGAGCAGCGAAGAGTAAAGACGAGTAACCCAGGCTGAAGAAGAGTAACCCTGAGTAGAGTAGAACAGAAAGGAGTAAAGAGTAACCAGAGCAGAATAGAGAGTAAGCAGAACAGAGCGGAATAAAGAGTAACCAGAGCAGAAAAGAGTAAAGCAGAGGGAATAGCAGAGACGAGGGTAGAGTAAAGAGTAAAGCAGAGCAGTGCAGAGTAAAGAGTAAGCAGAGCAGAACAGATTAAAGCAGAACAGAGCAGATAGGAGTAGAGAGTAACCAGAGCAGAGAAGATAGGAGTAAAGAGTAAGCAGAGTAGAATAAAGAGTAAGCAGAGCAGAACAGATTAAAGCAGAACAGAGCGGAATAAAGAGTAACCCTGAGTAGAGTAGAACAGAAAGGAGTAAAGAGTAACCAGAGCAGAATAGAGAGTAAGCAGAACAGAGCGGAATAAAGAGTAACCAGAGCAGAAAAGAGTAAAGCAGAGTGAATAGCAGAGACGAGGGTAGAGTAAAGAGTAAAGCAGAGCAGTGCAGAGTAAAGAGTAAGCAGAGCAGAACAGATTAAAGCAGAACAGAGCAGATAGGAGTAGAGAGTAACCAGAGCAGAGAAGATAGGAGTAAAGAGTAAGCAGAGTAGAATAAAGAATAACCAGAGCAGACCAGAGTAAAGTAGAGCAGAGCGGAATAAAGAGTAACCAGAGCAGAATAGAGTAAAGCAGAGCAGAGCGGAATAAAGAGTAACCAGAGCAGAATAGAGTAAAGAGTAAGCAGAACAGAATAAAGAGTAAGCAGAGCAGAACAGATTAAAGCAGAACAGAGCGGAATAAAGAGTAACCCTGAGTAGAGTAGAACAGAAAGGAGTAAAGAGTAACCAGAGCAGAATAGAGAGTAAGCAGAACAGAGCGGAATAAAGAGTAACCAGAGCAGAAAAGAGTAAAGCAGAGTGAATAGCAGAGACGAGGGTAGAGTAAAGAGTAAAGCAGAGCAGTGCAGAGTAAAGAGTAAGCAGAGCAGAACAGATTAAAGCAGAACAGAGCAGATAGGAGTAGAGAGTAACCAGAGCAGAGAAGATAGGAGTAAAGAGTAAGCAGAGTAGAATAAAGAGTAAGCAGAGCAGAACAGGGGAAAGAGTAAGCAGAGCAGTGCAGAGTAAAGAGTAAGCAGAACAGAATAAAGAGTAAGCAGAGCAGTGCAGAGTAAAGAGTAAGCAGAACAGAATAAAGAGTAAGCAGAGCTGAACAGGGGAAAGAGTAAGCAGAGCAGAACAGAAAGGAGTAAAGAGTAACCTGAGCAGAACAGAGTAAATCAGAGCAGAGAGGAGTAAAGAGTAACCAGAACAGAATAGAGAGTAAAGTAGAGCAGAGCGGAATAAAGAGTAACCAGAGCAGAATAGAGTAAAGCAGAGCAGAGCGGAATAAAGAGTAACCAGAGCAGAACAGAGTGAAACTAAAGCAGAGTAAATGACGTCAGAGAACAGAAGAGTAAAGCAGAGTGACCCCTGAGCAGAGTGAAGAAGAGTAAAAGTAGAGCAGAGTGCAAACAAGAGAAGAGCAACAAGACAACTCAGAGATATTTATTACATGGACATTTGTGTTTTATTTGTTTTCAAAATTAAAGTGTTAATAAATTATAAAAAACCTATATATTTGAATTTTGTATATAAATGTGTAACCACCTCCCCTTTCAGTGAAAGCAGTACCACCAAACCAGGTCTGCGCCCACATAAAACCAGTGAGAATCCCATATTAAATAAATTGTTCGTGACCCGACCACAACCACACTACCAGATTTTGGCCAGGTCCGACAATATGCACCTGTTTGAATCCTCAGAGTATAGCCAAAATCCAACATATTTCTGTCCGAAATATGTTGCGATACTTTCCCTCCTTCTTTATGAACTCACCTTGAATTCCAATAATTGGTTCTTGGCCTGGGTTGAATAAGATAGCATTCTCATCATACATTTCATCGACGAATGCCTCACTTTGATTGAAAAATCCATCGAAAACAAAGTCATCAACTCTCTTCATACGTCTTTTGGCAATTTCCAATATCTCCGATTGATCTATGAACAATGTCAATAAGATGTATTTTAACTTATGTTTTGCTTAAGGACATGAACACTGTGGTGGAACTTTTTAAAACTTACAAAAACGACGGATCCATTTCGGTAACCAAGTGGAGTAGCCTCGATGAGATGTAGGCAAAATCCCTACGACCTTTTTGTTACAAATAAAATACAAATAAATACAAATACAAATAAAATTACAAATAAAAGGACCAAAAATAGTTACGGAACACATCAACTATCACGAATTCAAGCAATTATTACGATCCGGTCCGTTACTATAGTACAAAAGACATTCCATTCATACCGAACCCATTACAATCCATGTTGAAGAATAATTTAGATTACCAATATGCCGAATAACAAACACAAACGCGTAGATTTTCTGAAACGTATGATGCTGACTTACGTTGGTGCCACGCAAAAGGTCGGGAAGACCATAACTTGTGAAATCGTGGAAAAAGAAATCGTACTTCCAAGGCTGATCCATTTTGTTACCAAAACGGATCCATTTTTGTAACCATTTTGCAGAGATGTACACGGTCACAGTTATGTAGTTTATATATTTTGATTTTATAGAACTATTTTAGATAAGGACTGAAAAAAATGAGAAGCAATTAGAAGATATAAAATAAAATAACCAAATGATATACCTTGCTTTTTACATATACAGGGTGGGCCAAAAAAAACAATACCCAACTTCAAATCAGGATAAAAATAGTTACATTCAATATGGTACGTTGACTTACATATCATTTTAAAGGTCGTACAATTTCAAACAATTTGGTATATAACACTATGTCATGAAATCAATAGTAAAGTTTTATTATACTTATTTGGTAGGCCGGGTTGCTATTTAAGGTTTCCAGATTTAAGGGAGAAAATAGTAAATCTGCGGAATTATGTTAATTTTTTATTTATAGAAAACCATTCTTTTGTTAGGTGAACACATGCTTGGATATTGATATTTGCATCATTGTGTGACTAAATTTATTGTTTATGAATTTCAGTGCTGTTTAATAACATTTTACACTTTATTTATTTAAACAATTTTCGCAATTGCTCAATATACCCCCACCCCCTCCCCTCTGCATCAACAATAAGCTTCAAGTGGTAGCGCAATCTATCAAAAGCCTTATTGAGAGATTTCTGTTGCAATTCATTTCAGCATTTAAGGATTCTGTTTCAGCTCATCAATGCTGTTTACATAGTTTATTGGATGTTTTTGATTGTACCATCTCCTCGAGATGACTCCATGTATGTATGGTAATCAAACACATTACATGTAGCATGGATACTGTTGGGTAGCCAAGCATCGAGATCAATCAAATTGACACCTTGTTTGCAAAGGAATTCCAATGTCTCCTGAGATCTATGGTACGAGGCAATGTCTTGTTGGAAAATAAAATCCTCGTCACATGTACGTTTAATGTCTTTTAACAGACCCCCTTTGAGTACTTATTGATAATAAACAACACTAAAATTCATAAACAATAAGTTTAGTCACACAATATGCAAATATACAAGCATGTATTCACCTAACAAAATGATATTCTAGAAATAAAAAATTAACATTATTCCGCAGATTTACTATTTTCTCCCTAAAATCAAGATACCTTAAATACCGACCCAGCCTCCCAAATAAGCATAATAAAACTTTAATATTGATTTCATGACATAGTGTATGCAAAATTGTTCGAAAATGGATTACCTTTAAAATGATATATAAATCAATGTATCATATTGAGCATAGCTATTTTCATTCTGATTTAAAGTTGGGTATTGTTTTTTTGGCCCACCCTGTATATGTACTAACAGAAAAAGACTTCACAATATTTCATAAAAATCTGTATCAATAACGCTACATATAATGATGATGATGGTGATAATCATTGAAGTGAAAATGTCTAATTTCTACGTTTTTTTCAATTTGTTAATTTAGAAAATGTCTTACCACAAATTACTTTCCTTTCACTGAGCTCATTTTTTATTTCACTTAGACTATCCAGTACTTTTTCTTGAAATAGTTTTTTTGTCGGTTTGTTACCTAGTCTCTTTCCTGATACTAAATTTGATGACACAAGTAGAATGGTGCAAATAACAGCAATGTACATTTTGTTGAGATTTCTGACTTTTATGATCGCAGTCAATGAACTTCACTTCACTCATTCGACAACTTTTTGTTAAATGAACGACAGTTGCTGAAAGTAATGTTATATATCACTATGACATTTACTAGTTCATCGATTTTAAATTACTTTATTATATTCCACATATATCAAGCGTGACATCCCTCGAGATGGAGTGATGATAATCTAATGAATTAAGCTAATAAAATCACTGAATTGTGCGCAGATTATCTATACACAACGTATAAATGATAATAAAATGATTGTATATGTTTTGCAAATAATAAAAAAATCCGACCATCACTATTTGTATCGACAATCCGCGGCATGACAAGTAAATAAAAATATGCTTACAGAAATGTTCAGTGTCAAATTATGTAAAAATACTAGTATCTACACTTTTAGTGTGTCTATCGTTATCAATTAAAGGGTTCAAATTAGAAAATTGCAATTTCAATTTTGACTAAAAATGTGTCCGTTAAAAATATATGAGTGCACATAAGGAAAATAACATAATCTTTGGTAACATATCAATGTTCGACAGTTTTACGTTAATATGTATAAAAGATATGGTCGAGACATGCAATAAAACCACACATGACAGTTAAATACTTTTATTGACTCACAGCTGTCGGAACATATGTCAAATTCCCAAGGTGCTGTATGTGAAAACCCCTGTTCACCATTAGCTCTGTGTTGGTATGTATAGACGTGAATCTAATCATGTGATAATAAACTACATTGCTACTTTGCTCCCGTCCGTTTGCGGGTCAAATATAGTCAGGGCGTTGCATAACCTTGCCTCCTACTACACCCCATGCAGACAGATCGCCTAAAATTACATTTGTATGATGCGAAACTCGACATTCACCAGGTAATTAGAAATATTTTGAAACCCATGAAGCAAATTGATTTTTACTGCTTAATAAATGGTGAATAACAGTCAGATTGAGTTCTATAAGTATGAGAATAGCATGACATCTTGATATTTCAAGGTAAATCGTTTGAATAGTGATGGCGGTGATTGGAATTACGATGTAAAGATGAAACCGCAACGGAATACTTGTATATTTACTTGCAGTATAGTACGCCCGCTCGTGTTTAAATTAAGTTAGATGTACAGTAATTGCACTTACCTGATGTCATATTTGGATGAGATTTACAATAACTGGGATCTTTATCATCGGCAAGCTGCATATCAACCTCTATTGCATCGTCATTTTTAATATTAAAGCAAAAGTGCGTGGCTCCCATAATAACTTTACCGTACTTCATACTGTATTTTATCGTATTCGGGGATTCCCAAGTATATGATGTCCAATCAAATTGCAGGCTACGATCACGTGAACAATCCCGGGGATTTAATTGGTAATTTCGCGACGATAATTTTTCGCGATTTTAACACCCTCGCGAAAAGCGCGAAACTAAATTGCACGCGAATAATACCGGGCGTACAGTACATCACATATCGAATTTTTCAAAACAGAAAAACAATAGTAAGGCCTGCAGGTCCAATTCCCCCTGTTAGCATTAATATTGGTCTCGTGTATGTCATACAATTAATATTTGAAGCACAACTATTATTCGAATTTATGATCGGACATAAGTATGATGTGTACTTCAAAGTAATAAAGTAATACCAGTATCATACTAATGTCCAATCATAAGTTCGAATAATAGTTGCGTTTTAAATATTAATTTTATGGCATATGCGAAACCAAAGTTAATGTTACCAAGGGGAATCGGACCTGCAGGCCTTACTATTTATACGTGATTTTGTGTTTCGGAAAATTCGTCATGTGATGTATATTTCTTAGTTTTTCAAAGAAATCTACAAATATTTCGTTGCCGTTTTACCTTAACATCGTAATTACAATCACCGCCATCACATTGCAAACGCCGCTACCTTGAAATATCATGACGTCATGCCATTCTCATACTTATAGAACTTAATTGGGCTGTCATTCACCATTTATTAAACAGTAAAGTATCAATACAGTAAAAAATCAATTTGCTCCATGGGTGATAAATTATTTCAAGTGTCATTTTTTTGTAAACCTTATACAATTAACTCTTTAGAAAAGATTTTTTAAAGTAGGTTAACATAGTCAGCAATTCCAAGTTCAACTTGTTTGCGTTTTTAGTATTCATATATCATATATTTCGCGGGCAATAATGGCGACCATTTTGAAAATAAGCGAGCTTTTGAACCAGGAGTCATAAGGGAGTTTTCCGTATTGATGTTGAACAAATATAATTTAAAACGGGAATCCTATCGACACAGGTTTTAAAGCAAACCCAGCTAACAATTTTACGTTGTGATAACGTCGACAGAATATATGTCTAAAGTTGTAGCAACGTTAATATGGAACGTTGCAGGTACAGGAAGGTGTGGACTCGCACAGATGTTTAAAGAACGTTACATTTGACTTAAATATCACGTGTCAGGAACGTAGTAGCGACCTTAACAATTACGTCGCCAAAATAACGAAACTGTAACGTACTTACATTACGTCATATATACGTGGCCATTCTAAATTTCTGGTAACGTTGATATGGAACGTTGTAGGTACGGGAAGGTGTGGACTCGCATAGATGTTTAAAGAACGTTACATTTGACTTAAATATCACGTGTCAGAAACGTATTAGCGACCTTAAAAATTACGTCACCAAAATAACGAAAATGTAACGTACTTATATTACGTCATATATACGTGGCCATTCTAAATTTCTGGTAACGTTGATATGGAACGTTGTAGGTACAGGAAGGTGTGGACTCGCACAGATGTTTAAAGAACGTTACATTTGACTTAAATATCACGTGTCAGGAACGTAGTAGCGACCTTAACAATTACGTCGCCAAAATAACGAAACTGTAACGTACTTACATTACGTCATATATACGTGGCCAATCTAAATTTCTGGTAACGTTGATATGGAACGTTGTAGGTACAGGAAGGTGTGGACTCGCATAGATGTTTAAAGAACGTTACATTTGACTTAAATGTCACGTGTCAGAAACGTAGTAGCGACCTTAACAATTACGTCACCAAAATAACGAAAATGTAACGTACTTACATTACGTCATATATACGTGGCCATTCTAAATTTCTTGTAACGTTGATATGGAACGTTGTAGGTACAGGAAGGTGTGGACTCGCACAGATGTTTAAAGAACGTTACATTTGACTTAAATATCACGTTTCAGGAACGTAGTAGCGACCTTAACAATTACGTCGCCAAAATAACGAAACTGTAACGTACTTACATTACGTCATATATACGTGGCCAATCTAAATTTCTGGTAACGTTGATATGGAACGTTGTAGGTACAGGAAGGTGTGGACTCGCATAGATGTTTAAAGAACGTTACATTTGACTTAAATATCACGTGTCAGAAACGTAGTAGCGACCTTAACAATTACGTCACCAAAATAACGAAAATGTAACGTACTTACATTACGTCATATATACGTGGACATTCTAAATTTCTGGTAACGTTGATATGGAACGTTGTAGGTACAGGAAGGTGTGGACTCGCACAGATGTTTAAAGAACGTTACATTTGACTTAAATATCACGTGTCAGGAACGTAGTAGCGACCTTAACAATTACGTCGCCAAAATAACGAAACTGTAACGTACTTACATTACGTCATATATACGTGGCCAATCTAAATTTCTGGTAACGTTGATATGGAACGTTGTAGGTACAGGAAGGTGTGGACTCGCATAGATGTTTAAAGAACGTTACATTTGACTTAAATGTCACGTGTCAGAAACGTAGTAGCGACCTTAACAATTACGTCACCAAAATAACGAAAATGTAACGTACTTACATTACGTCATATATACGTGGCCATTCTAAATTTCTTGTAACGTTGAAATGGAACGTTGTAGGTACAGGAAGGTGTGGACTCGCACAGATGTTTAAAGAACGTTACATTTGACTTAAATATCACGTTTCAGGAACGTAGTAGCGACCTTAACAATTACGTCGCCAAAATAACGAAACTGTAACGTACTTACATTACGTCATATATACGTGGCCAATCTAAATTTCTGGTAACGTTGATATGGAACGTTGTTGGTACAGGAAGGTGTGGACTCGCACAGATGTTTAAAGAACGTTACATTTGACTTTAATATCACGTGTCAGGAACGTAGTAGCGACCTTAACAATTACGTCGCCAAAATAACGAGACTGTAACGTACTTACATTACGTCATATATACGTGGCCAATCTAAATTTCTGGTAACGTTAATATGGAACGTTGTAGGTACAGGAAGGTGTGGACTCGCACAGATGTTTAAAGAACGTTACATTTGACTTAAATGTCACGTGTCAGAAACGTAGTAGCGACCTAAAGAATTACGCCGCCAAAATAACGAGACTGTTACGTACTTACATTACGTCATATATACGTGACCAATCTAAATTCCTGGTAACGTTAATATGGAACGTTGTAGGTATAGGAAGGTGTGGACTCGCACAGATGTTTAAAGAACGTTATAATTGACTTAAATATCACGTGTCAGGAACGTAGTAGCGACCTTAACAATTACGTCGCCAAAATAACGAGACTGCGACGTATTTACATTACGTCATATATACGTGGCCAATCTAAATTTCTGGTAACGTTGATATGGAACGTTGTAGGTACAGGAAGGTGTGGACTCGCACAGATGTTTATTAAACGTTACATTTGACTTAAGTTTCACGTGCCAGGAATGAAGAACCAACTTTAACAATGACTTCGCAAAAATAACGAAACTGTCATGTACTTATGCAACGTCACATATACGTGCCCGGTTTAAAGTTCTGGTACGTTAATTATGGAACGTTGTAGGTACAGGAAGGTGTGGACTCGCACAGATGTTTAAAGAACGTTACATTTGACTTAAATATCACGTGCAAGGAATGTAGTAGCAACCTTAACGACTTTGCCAAAATAAAGAGACTGTAACGTTCTTGTCACATACATGGCCAATTTAACTTCTGGTTACATCAAGTTAGGACAACACGTGCAAGGAACGTTCTCGTAACGTTAATTATGACATCAACAAGATATAGTGACAGTAATCCGGTAATGACTAACGTCCAGTTAAATGAATCATTACATGATTATATAGCT